TCTGGAGCGCCGAAGTACGCCGGAGCAGGTCCGTGACTGGCGGTCATGAGCGGAGACGACGGGACAGAAACGGAGGCGGCGATAGCTGGACGCGGAGCGAAACGACCAGGGACTCTCAGACGGTTACCATCATGGAGGATGTAATTGGAAGCAGCAGGTGCAGCAGAAGCTCGCCTCTTGTGTTGAAGAGGTCTCGGGTTGCTATGGAGAAGAGACAGGTCGTGTTAGTACGAAGGTACTTCAGGGATCATCCAGCAAACGGAATTCGGCAGCGGGCAAAGTTCCAAGCCAAGAATGGAACAGGTAGTCGGGAAACAAGCAAATCCCAGAAACAAAAGAGCGAAAGGCGCCAACGTGACGTGACGGGGGGTTTCTGTCAAGTTTAATACGAAAGACTTGGAGGAAAGAGAAGGAAAAAAAAGAGAGAAGGAAATTAGAACCTGGAGCCAAAAAAGGACACGCAAAGAACGGCACCGGCACACACCAAGGAGGCTACCGCTGGGCAATCTGCAAGTGCACCCTGGATTCGACAGAGGCTTGCGCGGGCAGAGAGGTGCGTGGGCTGTGCCCGGACCGGCGCTCGCTCTGATGATCCTATCCAGATGGAGTCTGATGAGTGGTCGCCCATCCTATTGTCTAGGGGGGGTGAGGGAGCGATTTGGGGGTCGTCCTTCCTCAAAGACCCCCTTGACCCTTGGCCCTTGTTGGCCCGCCTCGAAGGGGAAACACTCATCAGCCGTATCTCGAGCTACCGAGGACTTAGAACTAGGAGCGCCCCAAGGCTGCGATGTTGGGCGGCGACTACGGATAACGCAGTGCAGATACGCAGTGACGAGCTAGCCGAGTCGCGCAACCCAGCAACGTGGGCGCGATGACAAGAACTCCCTACTTTAGCACTTGCGCTAGGGCTTACACTACGTGCGGCGCGAAGAGGGACAGAAAGAGGCAGAGAAGCAAAACTTGTCTCGTGGCGTTGCCGCTTGGCGGGTAGCAGCGCAATTCTGCCTTGCTTTGCAACTGGCAGAGACGCGCGCCACTGTTCCTGGTGGAAATTAGGACAAGCTCCTGGCGGTCTCTAGGCACTCCGTTCTGCCGGGCCCCGTTGCGATGGCTCCCGCAGATGGCAAGCCGTACGCCGTCCATCCTGAAGAGTTACACTGAAGCCTCCAAAACTGCGTTTGAGAATCCGCGAAACAAGGGGAGGGGAGGTGAATCTTGATAACGACGCAAGGATGAAAGCACCATCATTCGATCATGGGATCCGCAACGCTCAACTGAAGCTGGAGACGAGATGCAGGGGTCATGGCAGGGGAAAACGTGGAAGAGGAAAGTCGTGGGTACAGAGTAATCCGAGCTCCCATTTCGTGCGTCGATGCATTTCCCATCTCAGAAGTGACAAGTAACTCTGTCTCCGCCCCGCCCAGCCTGGGCAGGAGGATCTCGTGGGGACTTAATCTTGAGGACAAACCAACCGGAAGAACTTGACGGCATCGTAGGAAGTGACTTGTTCAGTCGGGCTGGAATCTCCTGCAGTAGGCCGTAGGCCGAGTGCCTATCCGTATCTGCCGGTCTTGCCAGAAGCGTGCCCGCGGTGTCAAGAGCTATAGACACTAGAGGAAAGATCTCGGATTTCCACGTCTGGAGGACGCTTCCTAAAGCAGCCTCCGTTGGGTTCGGATCCACTTGGAAAGAAAGGCTCGGGATCGATAATAAATGAGGCGTGGGGCTGCCCCCATTCAGCACTTTCGTCGATCGAACGACGCGACTCCCACTCGCGAGCCGTGGGCCGAGGCGTCATCGATGTGCTTCATGTGGGCAGAAGCAGAACAGTTCCGAAGAGGAAGAAACAGCCAAAGAATATGGCCAGGGTGATGTAGAAATGGGAAAATGGGATGAACCAAACCGAGCAACCACATCCCAGCGCCATCGCCATCTCATGTCGAGCCGTGCAGGAACGAAATCCCAGACGCAGCAGGTGACGGATCGCGTGAATGAGGAAAAAATAAATTTGCAGCAGTGAATACGAGGCCAAGCGGAACGATGCAAAGTAAAGTGGTTAAACAGAAAAAAAGGCGCGCGACAAGAAGCAGTAGAACAAACAGGCCAGCGAATCAACGACGCAGTAGAGGAGCCAGTACGTGGAACCAGTGGTGTACATAGAACGATGGGGAAAATGCAGTCGTCGATAGTGTTGAAAACTGAAAGATGGGGCCAACCACTAGAAAAGAGAGACTTACGGAGCTTCTGATTTGCTGCTATTTTTGACATCCAGGAAAACGTGTGCGTAGACGCCATGTCGAATTTCGTTGGCACGTTTATCGTCCAGCGCTGACAGCGATTGCCTTGCACCCACTGGCCCAAGGCCACTGCCAGAGACTGCCCGGGCCGCCCGGTAGTCTTTCTGTTCGATAGCGTAGCTGTGGTGCCCGTAGTTGAGTCCGTAGTCGGGATCGAACCGCCGGTTGCCTTTGTAGGAAGTCGTGATCGCTTGGCCCGCAGGCGGGATCTCGTAGTACTGACGTCCGCTGATCATTGTGCCGTCCATGATCCGAGGTTCGTGACGGTCGCTTGCCGATATATCTAGTCGACTGATGTTCTTCTCCTTATTCTCTGTCGTCTCGTTCGTCTCTTTCGGACCGTTCCACGTGCCGTCCAAACCTCGATGAGTTCCGTCGTGTTGCTGCTGCTGATGCTGATGCTGCTGCTCTTACCGACTCTTTGCGCTCTCTTCCTCTCAGCCGCAGTCCTACCACCAAAGTTGGGCTGAACGACGAGGCCACACCTTTTATTTCAACGGACAAAAGGGGGTTGCAACCTTGGCCTTCATGAGGTCGTTGTGCCGTAATTTTAATATACCGGACGTGGGGATAGCTTGGCCAGTTGCCGTTGTTGCGAGGGTGGGTTTTTAATTCAGTAGCTGACCCGCTTCAGCCAACCCAAGAGCATCATCAAGAGTAGGATGCTGTTGCGAACTTGCGATGATGGATGAGCCGGAAAGGGGAGACGAGGGGGAGTAAAGACCGAACAATAAGAGCCAACAACTATAACCTGTCAATACCAAGAAAACGAGGGTGGAAAGGGGAAAGATGAGAAGACGAGGGAAGCAAGAGGGCGAGGGCTTTCCAGATTGCAGCCTTCATGCATATGGGTGCATTATATTTGAACTCAAGAACCCCATCTCACGCTCGAAATATCCCATCAAATCGCGGTCTGCGGCCTGGGATCTGGACCTCGTGGTCCCAAGACAAAAAGTCAGAGCCCTGCTCGGCGCTCACGCACTCCCGGTCCTTCCACTCCCAAAAGCCCTTACTAGAGCTGCGCAAAGCAACGCAATATGGCGGCAACATTCTGCACTGCAGCGGCTGGGAGGTGCCTTAGTCGCATGAATGATTGGAATGTGGGTAATCTAACCCCTCTATCCCCCTCGTCTAGCTTGTCTCGCGCCTCCAGCTCCAGGCAATCGACGATGGGTCGCAGCGACTCGCAGCTGCCAGGCACTCGACTCAATACGATGGAAGCACCCACATTTCTGGCGTGGATTACTTGTACCCGCTGCCTGGGAAAAACAAGGTTAACAGCCCGACAGGGTTGGTGATGTTCTGGAGCTCTCACTCAAGCTCCAGGCCATTCCCTGAGTGGCGGAGCGGGAGACCGGCCACGACGACTACCAAAGGCGACGAATGAGCGGCCCGGAGGAAGCCAAGGCATATGGCATCTTGCCCTGGCTCTGTTTCGCGGGGTTGCGACGAACCGTGCCGACATCCAGTAATATCCGTATCATCATGTGCGATGCTGATGCTGCACAGCCAGTCCATTCAGAGTTGCGCACATCTCACTGCCCAAAACACACTGGCTGATAACTCGTCGACTCAGAGGGAGGAAGACAGGGACAGGCCACCGAGGCAGGGTGAACGAGCCTGGCGTCCGCCTCGGGCAAATAGATCCTGTATGCGTAGCTCTTGATCCTCCCTCTGAACCACCTCGTCTCATCATTCTGACCTCGTTTCGTCCGGACCATCACATCAGTTCGGTCAGTGGCGTGTCGGCGGGAGGCTGGGCTGGGGCCAACTAGCAGTCCCGTTTCGCCCTGCAGCGCAGACCAGATGGAAAGTCGATGAGGGAGGGGTGTTTGATGCAGCTAGCCATGACGGGACTCTTCTGCCCACGCAAGTTTTCTTTGGCACAGACGGGGCTGGAACCTGCAAGCTGCAGCCGTTCAGATAGACAACGGCCTTTGTGTACCTTGGCCGCAGCACTGATCCAGGAACAGGAACAGAAAACCAGGAAGTTGAAGTGGGACAAAACTCACTTATCCTGGAAATCCCATCTCCAAGGCCGACACACCGAAAGCGCAATACCTAGTCAAGGGGCTCCATTTTCCCAGCATCCAGCTCTGCCAGGCTCCAGCTTTTGCTTGCACCAACACCAGAACCCTGTGATACTGTGAACCCCCAGGCGCCATAGCGCGTGCTGAGGTCGCATCAAAGTCGCCTCGTCAATCTGGGCTGGACGTCTTACGCGCATCCCGTTGCCGCTTCCGCGTCTGCATTCCCGTGCCGTGTGGCCTGCGACGACTGGCCTGCTTCATAGCTGGGTAGGTATCGATCGTCACATCCCGCTTCGATAGCTTGTGTGGTTCGTGGATACAGTGACTATAGTGCCTAAGTGTTCTTATTGTTCACGGATATCCATATAACCTTCTATTGCATTCCTTGAGCCTCGAGGACATCTTGCTGTATTCGCAGAGGCCGTGGAGCGATGCAAAAGAACGCGAGAATGGATAGTCCCGAGAGATCGGAGCAAGGTAACTCGTTCGGGTAAGCTCGTTGCCGTGGTGAGAATCGGTTTCAACGGGCGTCCCTGCTGCTTTCTGTCTTAGTTTGAGGTGGGCTTTTAGCGGCTAACCTCAGACGAACCACCCAACCTCTGGAATTTGGGGAGGAAACAGGGGGCGAAGGAGTTGAAAGGAGCATTCATCGTTGGTTCGTTATCGACAATGATCATTGTAGGGAGGTGAAAATCGTGAAACGAGTCAAGTCGCCTGCGTCAAGCTGTTCAGAGGTCTCCACGATTGCGCGGCGGTTTGTCGAAACTGATGCAAGTTCGAGGCTCTCTTGGTAGATGTGCATCGTTGGTTCAACTGAAGCGGACAGGATGGGCAGAGAAACGCCTCCCTCTGTTTCTTCCTCGGCCTGAGCCTTGCTTGCCTTACCTAGCTTGTCGTTCTTGCCTTCCGTTGCCATGCTCGGGTAAAGGTTGACAGTTTCACGGAACTTGGAAGGCGTCATGTCATGTCATGCCATGGTTTGTTTTTTTTTCCCTTCCTTCCCTTCCTTTCTTCTTTCTGTGCTCGACGGGCAGGCACGGAGTGGAGTGACAAAATCGTTTCGAACATGGGGGTTTGTCTGGGTCCCTTCCTTCCCCAAATCCCCAGCGTCTCTGTCATCCAAAAGTGCAGGTATCATCCCCAGCCTCTTCTTTCCTTCCATATTGCATCCTGTGGATCGCACCTTACCTTACTCCGTATGTACATACAAAATGGATCCACGATCTCCATCGAAACCTTCTTGCCGAGACCTCCGCATTGCATCATCGTTTCGTGCCCGTTGTCATCCGTCCTAACGGTTCCTTTGTTGGGCTTACGTATCCGCAAGATCCAAGCCACGGAGTTACCGGTTTTGTTTTCCAAGAAACAAGAAGGACATGACATGTGAATAGCCAACATACGGCATCCCACAGCCGCCTGGGCGAAAGGGGGGGAAAACTCCAAGCGATGCAATCTCTTGTGCCGGTCCTTTCTTTTGTTTATCATACGTTGGCCGTTGAACCTCATATTACACACGTCCCCTCATCCGTGACTTAGCCATGCCTCGAGTGTCTGTTCACTCGTCTGTTCTCATCCTCCGTGCACCACACGAAAAACGTCTGAACCCAGTCCCAAAACCCACGAGGTTATCTCGCTTGGCCTTTCCCAGTCCCTCGGTCGAAGCGGCCGCGCTACAGAGTCTTGCCGTGGACCGGGTTCCGCTGTCAGCTAGAGAGGGTAGTACAAACACAAAACAGCCGACGCAACTTTTGCACGAAGCGTCTCCGTTCAAGGTGAGTAGAGGCTCAAGAGAGAGCAAATAGCTAATGCATTTCCCCGTTGGTCCCCGTCCCGGGCCGGCCTCGGACTTCGGCACCTGTCTGCACTATCACTATGAATAGGTCCTTTCAGAGGGGCCGCCGCCTCTCGGACTGAAGAAGTTCGCTTGGCAACAACACCGGCAACAACACCGGCAACAACATAATGTTACGCCGAGAAACAAAAACAGTGCGTCGTGATGTTGTTAGAAATACCTCGCGTTCCTCCGGCAACAGCGTTTACTGCACTTGATGTTGAACTCGGTTCTCATGCGAACCGATGAGGAATAACTCTGACCAAGGTATCACTAACAAAAGGTTAATTGCGCAAAGTAAGAGAATCTTTGAACAGTGATAGTAGAAACGATTCTTATTGCTGCTGCATCCATGTGCAGCTTAGTTGGTATCTCGAGAGCGCTATACAAACATAATCCAACAAACCTCACCCGTCGTAGAAAGCAGCCACCTAAAAGTACCGCACGAGATCCGGGCCACACGCTTAAATTTCAATCGCCATGCTGAGTTCACCCTGAACTCTAGAAAAGTGCTATGAAAATCGCACTTTTGGCGGGGACTGTTCATCGCTCATTTCCTTGTCCTCTGCAGAGAAGCGCAGGCGGCGCACAGGTCTGGCGGGTTCCCCTCCCAAGTCTCCGTTGCCTTCAGGCTTGGAACTACGCGAGCGCTTAAGACCGCCCATGTTTGTACCATTTGCCAGCTCATCCTTGACCACCGTCGACTTCATCTCCGTGCCATTTGCCAGAGTATCCTCTTCCGAAGACTGACCGCCAGCAAAACTGCTGCCAAAGATTGGCTGAGGGCGCTTCAGCGGAATGGCCTGCGCCAAGTAATCTTTCTGGTCCTTTGGAAGAGGTATAATGCCGACGTTCAAGATCCAGTTGTAGATGGGTTGATCGTCTATGATGGACTTGCACTTCCAATGCTCAAACTGCGACATGGTCTTCTTGCGCTCCATGATGACTTCTTCGATGCTGTCCCGGAGGACGAGCGTCTCGACCGTCACGGGTTTCTGCTGACTGATGCGCCGGGCTCTGCCAATGGCTTGGGCTTGGATCTGGGGGTTCAGAACGGGGTTGATAAAGTAGATTCGCGAGGCAGCCCTCATGTCGAGACCAATAGCGGCCTGCGACAAGTCCATGAGAATGACCCTGGATATTTTCTTAGCATACGCAAAAAAACGAGAGTCCACTGAAAACGAACCTGATCGTAGGGTTGTTATTGAAAGTGTCCACGTACTCCATCTTCCGGGCATACGTGAGCTTGCTGGCATAAATCAGGTGACGCACGTGAATCTGGATCACAATGTTAATTCGGAATCACCTGTCGTCGAAATGCTCAAACTCACTACTTCAAGAAGACCCGCCAGATACCATGCCACATTCTCATTCTCGTAGAAGATGATCATCTTCTCTTTTTCTTGGTGCTCGACCACAGCGTCGATAAGGTATGAGAGCTTTGCTGACACGGTGGAAACCAGCATCGCCTTCTTCAGATCGTCTGGAAGTTGCTCCAGCTCGGGCACGGGCTCAGCGGGCTTCGAGGCAGTAGACTTCAGGTGCCGAGGAACCCGTTCACCTCCCAGTCTCGTATTGCCAGCGAGAACCCCTGGAGACTTTGACGGCCGGTGGTCAACCGCGACACCCTGTGCCCCGGACATGATCTGATCGGCTTGCTCTTTACGACCCTCAAATTCCAGTTGACCGTTGAGTAGACTATTCAGCTTCGTGGGCTTACCCATGGCAGAGGCGATCAGCTTCTGCGCGGTAAGTACCATGCCAGCATCGGTACAAGTAGGATTAGCGTCTCGATCGTCGAGGGACCAGGCAGAGCCCACGCCATTGGGGAGAAAGTCGCGGATGAAGATGGGGACCTCGTTATACTTGTTGCTGAAGTCTTTGAGTTGGTTTTCGATGGCAACGTGGGCAACTTCAACGGCCTGTTTCAGAAGAGCTTCGTCTTTCTCGCTGATGAGAACCTTTTTCTCTTGGAGGAAAGTCTCTGCAGTTTCGAGTGCCTTGAGTATATCGTCCTTAGCGAAGAAGACACCACCGAAGAAACTGGATTGCTTCAAGTTGTGAACCAACTGGAGCAGGGCCTTGCGTTGACGAGCGTGGAAGAAGTAATCCATGTCGACTCTTTGAGACTGGACGGCGTTGAAGATGATCATCATCGAGAAGATGTTAAGCGACAACTTGTCTTGGTATGAACCTTCCAATACAATAACGTTCTCGTTGACTGATGGAAGCAGGGTGTTAAGCTCCGACAGTCGATGCCTGACGATGAGAGAGTTCAGTGTAGCGCGCAGCACCCCCATGCGGCCGGTCGACCGGGAGCTATGCTTCGGCTGCATCACGTACACTGCCCAATCTGCCGTCGTATCTCCTGTTTCGTGTACGCTATTGGACCAAGGTCGAGCATTGAGGTACAGCGATGATATCGCGCCAATCTTCTCCAAGTCTCCCTTTTCCGCCTCGGCGAGGGCTGCCGCCTTGTCGGTATTATTTTTGTCGTCGGGATGGGTATCGTTGAAGTGTTGGTCGTCTACACCGAATAAGCCAGTGGCTGGCGTACCGGTCACAATCCAGCGAGCAGAGATGTGAAGTGCGTCAATAGCTAGGAGGACATTGCTCTTGTTGTTTATCTTCGCGTAGCCTATCTTGTGCCCTTCGTCGACTATACAGCGCTTAAAGTGGACTTCTGCCAGTGGACACCCCATCATCATAGTTTCTCTCCATACCCTATCGAGCCGTGACTGGGTAATGAGGACGAGGTCATATGCTGCGAGGACTTGAGAGTTGGGAATTTCCTCCTTCTGGCTAGTCAACTTCAGGACCTTAAGACCCGCCGGGTTTCCTGGGTGGACGGTGTGCTTTTCGATTTCCTGGATCCATTGTTGAACAAGGTTGTTGGGGACGATCACTATGGATGCATGAGTGTGTCGGACTTTCTTTGCCGGGTTACCAACAGAATTTTCATGCCGCCGAAGGCGCTTGGGAGGCTCCTCGGGGACGTGGTAGCGGCTGGGGTTGCGGCGGATTGCTGCTATGCACTTGTCGTACTCCAGCTCTTGGTTCGCATCATAGACGTTGAAGAAGATCTTCCAAGGAGCTCCTTTGATGTTGGCATTCGAGGCTGCCATATCAGCGAGTGATCCAATCTTCCTCCTTACGCGCACGTCGCTCCCTTGGTAAATATCGGGGGTGCGGGTCGACAAATGTCGAGTCGCCAAGATGACGGCCAGACAGATCAGGGTCTTGCCTGCGCCCATCTGCTCGGCCAATATACCGCCTCTGACACCATCGTAGAACCTTGGTTCCTTGACGAGGGCTCCGGAGCTAGTATCGTAGTAGTAGGCTACACCATTTTGGTCGATTCCTTTGGCAATTCTTGGATCCAGGAACTGGCCAGGTTCACTTTCGCGCTGAATCATGACCGCAGCTGAGCGACGCTGGTAGTCGTAAAGCTTCGACGTATCATTCATACCAGGCAGGTTGCCTTCGAGTACGTTGTAAATGGCATCTTGTTCAAATGGGTTGGTGACAACATGGGGCGCCGGGTCCGGGGAAGGAATGCTGTTGAACATCTGGAGCAACGAGGTTGAGTCATGAGAGTCTTCTTCATCTCTGAAGACATGTTCGAGTGTGGTTGGAGTCGAAGTGAGCTGGCCAGACCAGGCCTCTTGAGAAAAGTCGAGTTGGGCAATGAGAGCTCTGCGTGATCTTCTTAGCCTAGTGCGGTCTCGGTCGATGGCCTTATTGTCGACGTCGTCAGGCAAGGCATAAATTCTTGCGGTTCCGCGTTCTCCATCCTCCGCGCGAACGAGAAGATGAACTCGGATCCACTTCTCAACCACGAGGTTCTTGTAGTTCTTGAAAGCCGCAGACAAGAGGAAGGTATCCTCTACATGATCGAATGGCTTGGGGGCTCTGACGCCTTTGGCAGGTTTCGTCGGCGCAATGATGCCCCATCTTCCGAATCTCTTCTCCAACAGCTTCCACTCTTCAGCTGTAAGCTCAGTGTTTTCCCGCGTGATGACAAGGCTTCCTAATGGAATGAAACTCGATGGTGACGCCATCAAGCGTGATAACAGGCCACCGTAGTGCGTCCAGTTGATCAAGAAGCAAAATAGTACTTATCATTCATA